TGAGACCATATGCTGGTGCGGTTGGCCCTGGGTTCCTCCTAATGCACAACAATGCTAGACCTCATATGGCTGGAGTGTGTCAGCAGTTCCTGCAAGACGAAGGCATTGATGCTATGGACTGGCCCGCCTGTTCCCCAGACCTGAATCCAATTGAGCACATCTGGGACATCATGTCATGCTCCATCCACCAACGCCACATTGCACCACAGACTGTCCAGGAGTTGGGGGATGCTTTAGTCCAGGTGTGGGAGGAGATCCCTCAGGAGACCATCCGCCACCTCATCAGGAGCATGCCCAGGCGTTGTAGGGAGGTCATACAGGCACGTGGAGGCCACACACACACTACTGAGCCTCATTTTGACTTGTTTGAAAGACACTACATCAAAGTTGGATCCGCCTGTAGTGTTTTTTTCCACTTTAATTTTGAGTGTAACTCCACATCCAGACCTCCATGGGTTGCTCAATTTGATTTCCATTGATAATTTTTGTGTGATTTTGTTGTCAGCACATTCAACTATGTAAGTATTTCATAAAAATATTTCATTCATTCAGATCTAGGATGTCTTATTTTTGTGTTCCCTTTATTTTTTTGAGCAGTGTATTAAAAAATAATGAAAATTGGACCAACTCATTTATGAGGAAAGATTACAGGACATTAATCTTTGTACCTTTAAAAAATGGTGACTAAGTTAACAGACCTGATTCAAAATTCGTAACACCAGGGAGAAATATTTTCCCATTTTTCAAAATACTAGAATCTACATCAGGGGTGTCAAACTGGCGGCCCACAAGCCGCAGGCATTACCTGCAGGCCACGCCCACCCCAGCTCCGTGAATGGGAAAAACATTGCGAAACATCATGTGACAGCAATGTGACTCCACCAGTTTGATACCCGTGATCTAGATCATGCAACAAAACTATATAATGGCAAATTACCTGCTTCGTGAATGCCTGGGTTATCCGATATTTCCATGGCATACAATTCCCTTTGCTCCACTGACTTGCCCACCGAGTAGAGCCGGGTAATGTTTGGGTACTCAGTGGCAAATTTCCTCAGAAAGATACCCATATCAGGGAAGTGGTGATGGCGAAAATCATCCGGCTGGATCACTTGGCGAGCAGAGGTTGTCCTGTTTACAGCAGTGATAGTTGCTGCATTGCCAAGAGAGTTGCTGGTGGTGATCAGTGTTTCCTTGGTGGGTCTGGAAGTCAACACTGTGACTGCAGGATGCAAGGAAAAATCCACTACGGTTGCGTTTGCTTCCTTCACTTCAATGTTCTCCATGGTGACTGGCAGGTAGCTGATGGGGAAAAAGAAAGAGAAGAATATGCTTTTAGGTTGACATTAGCTTCACCTGGCTTAAGAGCATCCCTAATGGAATTTACTTTAATTCCATTACTAAAGGTAGTGTCTGACTTACAACAGTTCATTTAGTGACTGTTCAAAATCACAACAGCATTGGAAAAAGTGACTTAGAACGGTTTTTCACATTATGATCTTTGCAGCATCCCCTTAATCATGTGATCAAAATTCAGGTGCTTGGCAATTGGTTCATGTTTACAATAGCTGCTGTGTCCTAAGGTCACGTGATCAACTTTTGTAACCTTCTGACAAACAAAATCAATGGGGAAACCAGATTCACTTAAAAGCCAAGTTATTAACATATCAGCTGCAGCGATTCACATAACTGTGGCAAGAAAGGTCATAAAATGGGGCAAAATTCACTTAACAAATGTCTCACTTAACAACAGAAATGTTGGGCTCCATTGCCATCGTAAGTTGAGGACAACCTGTATTTATTCACCTTGAATATTATTCCCACTTCGTTAGTGAAACAAGTAAGACCAAATAGCAACGTTATTATTTCTCAACTGAAGAACCTAACTCAAGGGTCCCATGTCAAAGCTCCATTTTTATGTCTGCTTAACTGCAAATCTCAGGCTTGCAATGTAGCTGTTCCAAATCCTTCACTCATTTTCTCTTAAGAAAGGGAAACCTTTTTCACAAAGAAACACTGAAGGTAGTAGGCTTAATCCTCATGGAACCACTGTCCTTCCCTGCTTTTCTATGCGCCTAGTTTTTTGTTGTCTGCACTAGCAATGTGATTATATGACAGCGCCTGCCTAGTTTATGGCAAAATGAGACAAAGCAGCGAGATTGGCTTCTAATATTCCCATAAAGCAACTCCTTACTAGAAGAAACTATGCCAAAGATAATGAACTTGTTGATGCCAGCTCCATATACTTTACCCCGAGACGGAAGCTGTGATATTATAGGTCCCAGGCACCAACAGTCTGTAATAGTCACCAAACTGTCCAGTCGTAATGTTGTGAGCAACCCCAGCCACAGCAATGGTTGCATTTTCCAAGGCAGCCCCAGTGACCGAATCTCTCACAAATCCTTTAATTCCAATATGTACCTGTATTAAATAAATGTGAATTAGATCCAGAACATGTTGTAAAAACTTTTAGTATTTTCATATTCAGCAACTTGCTAATTTCATGCTAAGTGATCTGTGCAATATTCTTTTTTTTCCTCATCCAAGGAAAGTTACAGGTTGCTGTTAAGCTTGCACACAAAATGAAATAAAATAAGGAATATAACAAGGAGAAATTGGCAGAGAATAGCACATCTCTTGCATAACAAGAGCAGCTGGGCAGCATCACCAGAAGGTTGGCATAAATCTAAAACTTGACAGTATGTCTGTGAATTTCTATATTTTGAATTCCTCTACATAAAGTTCAGTATACTAGGAAAGAGCAGCTACATTAATCTTTAGATTGAAGGAAATGTCATAGATTTTATCAACCATGCTCGCAGTTTTAGATTTCTTGTTCTGTAACCAAGGGATTTGTTTCTGTCACAGGCTGTCTTTCAAAAAACAAAATGCCAAGAAAAACAAAGAGGACAGTTGTGTGTTTTTGAGTCATGCTTGTAAAAGCCAAAAGATGAAACAACTCAGCTCTATTTTACAGATAAACATGCCATTTTTATGCACCGCTTCCGTCAAAATGCTTCACTCAAAACAGATGGTGAATTCATATGACTTTAGAATATGAAATTATGTTCAAGATGGTACGCAGAGCACATCATTTTTTATTGGTAGAGCTATCAACAGAGAATGTTATGTTAAAGTATTTGTTATCTAATATTATTATGTACTTTGTACTGATTCATATTCAGCATTATTTATCATTCATTAATAAAACTACACAAATGAGACAGAATTGTCTTTCTTCATAATGTCATTTCTTTTTGGATGTGACGTAACTATCTAATAAGGGATGTGATCACTCAGTGGCTAAGACGTTGAGTTTGTCGATCAGAAAGGTCGGCAGTTTGGCAGTTCGAATCCCTAGTGCTGCATAACGGAGTGAGCTCCCGTTACTTGTCCCAGCTTCTGCCAACCTAGCAGTTCAAAAGCATGTAAAAATGCACGTAGAAAAATAGGGAGCACCTCGGTGGGAAGGTAACAGCATTTCGTGCTCCTTTGGCATTTAGTCATGCCGGTCACATGACCACAGAGACGTCTTCGGACAGCGTTGGCTCTTCGGCTTTGTAACAGAGATGAGAACCACCCACTAGAGCCGGAAATAAGTAGCATGTGTGAGGGGAACCTTTATCTTTACCTATCTAATAATGGGTTCTCGCTTTGCAGTGAGGCAGTAACCTACTTTTTTATACCTTGGTGGGGTTGGACATATCCTGCTTCCATTTCATAAAAGAGCCTGCAGGAAAATCCCCCACCCCGTTTTCCTACTGATCGATCATACCAATCGAGACAGAACACATACCGGTATTAAGAAGCTCACAGAGTAAAGTGAAAGAATGTGTCCCACAGCTAGAAGACTGAGGAAGGTGTCAATAAATTTATGGCCAATTGCTTCAATTTATGCAAAGCCAACAACTATATTGATTTATGAGGACATGGCTTGACACCATCCTCGACAGAATCCTCATGGAAAATAAGCAATGCTATGCCGTTTATTTATTTATTAAATGTTTATCCTGTCTTAATTACTTTATATGTTACTCAAATAGAGTCACATTGGTTGAAATGGGTAACATACAGATAAATAAATACTTGTTTCTCCTCTTTCCCCCCACAACAACCACAATGTGTGGTGAACTGGGCTGATAAAGAGGGACTGGCCCAAAGACACCCAATTGGCTTTCATGCCATGTCAGGACTAGAATTCCCAATCTCCTGGTTTCTATGTCAGCACCATAACCAAACTGGCTGTCTTTTAAGTCAACTCTTTAAGTGAAAAAGCATTTGTGTAAATATTCAGCGAACCAAGCAGAGTAGGCAACAGGAGCTGAAACTCCTGAGAGGGAGCAAAAGACAGCTTCAGAATAAGATATCATTTTTTTTTAGACTTTAGTACAGTTACGGTTACTAAATGTGTTTTATGCATGGTCCTAAATATTTCTGTGAAAGATGAAAAAGGGAAGAGATTTATACACATGATCACTATACTCTGGCAGAGTGAATTATCAAAACAAGTTCAGGCAGGTTTCATATGCGGCTGCAATCTATGCCTCAAGCCATTTGGTTTTAAAAAAAAAACCTTCTCCTCAAGGAACTCAAATGAAAGAAACCTTTTTCCATGCCTAAAGGATGTCCTGCAACAGATTGAGATACTGAGTGCTCCGTGTGTTGCAGAGTGACTAATTTCCTTGAGACCTGTAAAAAACAGTAATGCTGAAGACAGTGACGAACCAGGATCTGTCCCCTGTTTTAATTGGTATTTCAGTAACCTTTGTGGTGACTGCCAAGCTGTAATTTCCAGGAGAATTTTAATATATGCACAACAGTTGAATGACAGGTGCAGGCTGGACAAAAGCTAATTTTTCCCTTAGCTCCTGTGATATGAAAAGGGGGTTCCTGTGCAGTTATAATTATTGAAAAAAGAAATTATCACTGCTATTGCTGATATATGAGCAGCTCAACTTTGTCAGCACTCCGTGCTACGTACAAAAAGGACAAATGACTCCTTAAGCAGAGTTAATCCTTTAGTCTGGACAATACCCTGAACCATTTCGTTGTACGCAAAGAAATTTCATTTTAATGTATGCTGATTAGCGTACATTCAAAGTGACAATAAAGTTATTCTAACAAGTTCTAACCACAGATTACACAGATTAGCTCCATCCACAAAAGGATACCAATTGTGATTCACAGCCATCAGTGATGAAGTGTCTAGGATTAGAATGCAATAATCTGAACTGTAAAACCATGAAATGGCTTAATATACCATGTCTGTATAGTTAGTGGTTGGCTCCATGATCAGCCGTTCTTTAATCAAACCCTGAAAGGTAGTGTCTGCATATACTTGACTCTAATACAGGTAATCCTCGACTTACAACAGCTCCTTTAGGGACCGTTTGTAGTTACAGTGGCACTGGAAAAAGTGACATGAATATTTTTCACACTAATGATCGTTGCAGCATCTCCATGCTCCTGTGACTTAAGGTCAGCCTAAACTCCAGCATGGTTTCGTGACGCTTGCTTGCTCTTGGCTGCCACAGAAATGGGGGGGGGGGGGGGGCATTTGGAATGAGGAAGTGAGCTGGTGTGGAGTGATCCCATGAGATCTGGAAGGGAGGTTTGCACTCACGAATGTAGAGTGGAGTCGTTCATACTTCTTCAAGGCCAACCATCCTGATACTCCAGAGGTGAGAAATACATGCAGAGGAACTTTCTCATTAATACCTTACTGGATGTTGGTTGGCCTCTTGGTGCTGGACCCCAGGGAGAGGGACTTGGGGTGATTTTCAGTGTGTAGCTTTCACACGGTTTGTTTGAGATCTTGCCTTGCTTTTGCTGCTATCAGTTCATTCTTAGTAAAAGTCCCTCTTCTCTAAATCAATGGAGTCGGAGGGTTTCTTTCTTAGGGTTTGAAGGGAGGTAGCCCTGACATTTACATTCAAACACTTGGCAACTGACTCAGATTTATGATGGCTGTATCCTGGGATCATGTGATCCCCTTTTGCGACCTTCTGACAAGCAAAGTCCATGGGGAAGCCAGATTCACTTAACAACCGTGTGGCCAACTTAACAACTGCAGTGATTCACTTAACACCAGTGGTAAAGAAGGTCGTAAAGTGGGGCAAAACTCACTTAACAAATGTCTCATTTATCAACATAAATTCTGGGCTCAATTGTGGTCATAAGTCGAGGATTACCTGTAATCAATAGCTGAATACAAGGAATATCATTTAATCTGATATGTAAATATTGCCAGTGTTGACTTTAGATATGAAAGAGAGATCAGGACAGGAAGTAACTTTGAAAGAACTATGTGTAACTCTTGAGATAAAGTATTTTTGAAGATACTTGAATATTTCTGAGCACACACAGCTGCAGTGAAAAATCTGAGAGAATTTAGATAATATAAGTGACCCTGGATAAAGCTTGTGAAGACCCAACCAGATACCTTTACCCTGGGCAAATGAAACAAAAGTTACTTGAGCGAGGGGGGAAAAATTACTTATTCCCTGCTTAGTTGGGTAATTGTTAAATGTGTTAAGAGTGATAAGAAACTTGAGACAAAGATCTGATTAAAACAGATCTAATTATGGCTTGCTTGGCCATCAATTTAATAAATAGGATACGATTAACTGGAGTTATAAAACTGCTAAAACCAAACCCACTTATTATTACAGCTTAGCATACATCTCTAAACCAAAGTCTTTTTGTGATTTGAAACAAAGAAATTCAAACATGGATCAGTGACACTTCCTTCTTTTTAAATATTGCCAGAATTTTGCTGTACCACAGTTACACTTTCTCATATTTCATTTGGTACGAATCGTGCTAAATTTTACATGGGTCATAAAACAATAATATGAACATTAAAAATTGTGTCCTTGGTCCAATTTATGAGTCAAAAGGGATTAGGCAGAGCTGACATTCTGACAAACAAGAAGCATATTCAAAATCTACAGGCAAAGAAAGCCCTGACAGAGATGAATAGTCTTTTATTCAGAACAAAGACAGATTCAAATATACATGGATTCAGGGGTGGGATTCAAATTTCTTAACAATCAATTCTGTGGGAGTGGCCTAATTTGTGGGTATGACTTGGTGATCATGTGACTGGGTGGGCGTGGTTTGCTGACTGGGCATGGCTTGGTGGTCAAGTAAATATTATAAATATTTGTGAAAATATTGAATTTTTTTTTATATAAAAAAGCAACTTTTACCCAAAATCAGGCAAAGCAGGCAGGCAGATTGAGTTGCTCACAGAAAC